AAAAAAAAGTACTTGCAGAACAGTTTTTGACTGATATTCCTTACTCACAAGCCACTGTATAAGACTGCGGGAAATATTCCTCCTCAGTAAGCACATCAGTGTGTCTATGGTCATGCCCCACTGTACTGTGGAAATTTACAAGACTAAAAACCTACTTTTAGTCAGGCTATGTCCAGCTAAGGTTAAATTAAAAAAAAAAAAAATACACCTGTAACAATGCTAAATGAACTGAGCTCTTTTTTCCGCTACAATCCTTATTTTACCCGGTACAGCACATTGGATTTTATATTACAGAGATGATAGTGTCTATTATAGAAAACTGTAACTGGGCAAGTCACTTTAGAAGAATAAGATTGTGATTCAGTTTTATCTCTTCTTTTAAGTTAAGTTTAAGTTAAACAAACAAGGTCAAAAATATTATATTTATACTGAAATCACACCAAAGCCTTACAATAAAAAGGAATCTTTAGCAGGGAGAGAAGAAACTGGTGAGGCAAGCCAGATTTTCTCAGGCACATCATCCCTAAACGGGCGAGGCCTCACAGCTAACACTCACTGAGGTGAGAACAGTTAACAGGTTCTTGCCTGAGGATCTGAGGCTGCGCACCGGTTGGTACAGGAACAGTTTCAGCATGTATTCTGAATGCAGGCCGTGAAGACCTTTAAAAGTGATAAGTAAAATCTTAAAATCGATCCTTAAAGTGATGGGCAGCCAGTGTAGAGTCTTTAAGATTAGTGTAATATAATTTTTTCTTGGTTGTTGTAAGAAGTCTGGTTGCTACATTTTGCACAGTCTGAATTTTTTTTATGCTTTCTGATTGATAAGAGTTTAAAAGACCGTTACAAAAATCCAAAACCATGAATAACACTGAGCGTCACTAAAGCCCATGAACAGATAAAGGACTGAGGGAGGACTTCATGGTTGGATTGTCTGTACCAGTGATAAGAATTCCTCTTTTATTTGAATTTTAACCAGCAATTTCTAATATAAGAATGTCTGCGTGTTATCAACATAGCAGTGGAATGAAATATTCCTTCTCTGTATAATAATCTAATCTATAATGTGGTGAGGAGGTAGCATGCATACATACCAGCTATTACCAAGCAAACTGTTTCTTTAAGAGAAATCTAGTTTCTTTTTCAGAAAACAAGTAAAACATTTTGCGACCTAAAAGTGTGAGAGACAGGAGGAAAGTGTGTTTTCATGGTTTTTTCAAATATGGCATACAAGCTGAAATAAATGTGAAATATTACTTTAATTCAAACGCTGAGTACTTATCTTATCATCCCTCCCACTGTGAACTGTGGCTGCAATATCAGGAAATGTATAACTATTAAAGCCTTGTAATAAAATGTAGACAGACTGCATAAATATCTGAGGTTAGTCAAGGTACAGACTTGAAGAAAATAAGGAAGTAACTGCTGTTAGTCAAATAATAAGAACTACTTTTTTATATATAGTTTGTGCATTTAATGTATCTTGTTTATTGCCGGAGCTATATTGAAGTTTAGTTGAAGGTAGAGACTGAAAATAATGTAAAGTTTTAAAATATGACCCAAAAAATATTAACGGATAACCTAGTCAGATTCATTATTTTGGTTCAGGCAGTTGGGGCAACAATTGCATCTGTTTAAAGACTTCTTTGTAGTTTTGTCACACATCCTAAAAAAAAAAAGTCTTTACGTGTTGTAGTAATTTTGCAAAGAGATATACTGCCAAATAATGCTAAACAACATTGATGATTATTTATTTGTTGGTTAAACCGATTTCAATTTGGTCTCCAATGCAATGGCCCTGGGGGTTCTCCCCTGAACTTAATCAGCTTAGCTGGCTGGGATTCCTTTATTATTGCAGAACATGTTTATTTGCAGCTCACAACAACGGGGAAGGGAATTGCCTCTGTGTTTTCATTGTTCTACATTTGGCATATTGCCCATGTTTCAGTTGATGCAAAAAAAAGATAAGCAAAGGAACAAAAATCTCTATCAACACTTCAGAAACCCAGTGTAACCCTCCTAAGTCTGTTCAGAACATGTGGCACACACAAAATGGCAAGTTGTGGCAGCAGGAAGACATAGACTGTTACTGAATATTTATGAACAGAAAGGCGATACTTTCTAATTAACAAAATTAAAGTTAGGCTTATAAATCACTTTAAGAATAGACTAACATGCATACTAAGTATTTAATTTATCTTTTTAATTAAACACAGTAGGTAGTTTTTAATGGCTGCCAACTGTAAGATTCTCTTTTTGCAAATCGCATCTTTGCCTCCCCTTAAAACACAACAGTTTATTAAATAATAACAAGTCAACCTTGCCTCCATCCATATTTTCATATAGTCCTGACCCAAGTCCTGAGCTGTATGATGGAGGTGTTGCCTTTGAAAGGAAGTGTTCAGAGAAATGCTTGAAGATCAGAAGTATACGAATGAAAGCAACTCTTTGAACCACTGGATGTGAGAGACAACATCAATACTTCAAGTTCAGTGTTTACCTTGATGTGACTCGCACAGTTTTACATGATAAACAGATGTGGCTGCAAGGCATGTGGAGAATTTAAAGAGCTCAATCAGGTTTTATTAGATGCCTACAACTGTAACACAATTGGCAAACATGAAAACACAATTTAGGGAGCAAAGCAGAAAGATCTATACTGCACTTTATCAACGTGTTTAGGCAAGCATCTCATTTTACAAAGGAGATCAAATACCATGTAAATGACTTTTGGTAAAAAGACAAAATGCACAGTGGACATTTAGTGAATATCTCTATGGGCTCTCATTTAAATGGAAATTTGCCTCTCAGTAATGTGCTGAGGTGCATCAAAATGGAATATTAGATTGAATAAATCCCCATGTTGTGGACAGGCAAAAAATAGCCTCTTACTCTGCGAGAGAGACTAATGTCAGAGCCCATTACAGGTGGCTGAGCCGACTGTGATCTTCAAATAATGTCAGCCGTGCTTAGCAGTGAATTGGTCGTACCGTGTCTTGACTTAATATCTCCCTGTTGAGCTGCTGTTTATTCCTTTAGCTGGTCGTTGCCCTCTCAGCTGAGTCTCGTGGCAAAATGTTTTAAAGCTATATTGTTCCACAACACAAAACATCACAGTTTTTAGAAAAAAAGGCATGCCTTTCATACGTTTTTTTTTTGTTTGTTTCTTTGGGGGTTTTTTTTGTCTGTTTTATTTTGTTTTTCATTTTGACAGTTTAGTTGGTTTGTCACGGGAACTACTCTCATTAGACTCAGGTTTGATTCTGTGTGTAACAATGACTTTTCTGCTGTTTGTTTTTAGACTTTTTGTCCTTGTTATGGGGCCAATTAGTTTTTCATATATTACTGTCAGACATAGTTTCATATTGTATTTTCATTTTTGTTATAGACTAACTATAATTCTAATTTCATTAAAATTATTCTATTAGAGTTACAAAATTACCACGTTTTGGGTAGACCTTTTCACACCCTTCACCATATATTTTCCTGTTATGCAAGGTTACTGGTTCCTGCCTCTACAATTGGTCCCTCTAAAACTCTAGGTATCTCCTGATTTTACCATCTTTATTGCAAAGTACATTTATGCAGTAGACCAACCCAGCTGTTACAGATTTTCCTGTGAGACTGAACTGGCCTTCCACTTTACCTCTTAAGTTAGAAATAAACATTTTTCTCGACTCGTAACCTATTTCTCACCAGCTGTAGTGAGAAATAGGTTACGAGTCGAGAAAAATGTTTATTTAAGTTGCAGACTTTACTTTAATACATATCTTGCCAATGTGTTTTGACTTGTGATCGGTTTATCCTTCCCTGTGCTTCTTTTGTTTGTTCAGTGTCCAGGCCTGTAAATGCTAGGCTGTGTGATGGTGAAGAGCCTCCTTTGGCTGTCCAGCACTGCTCCATTCCCTGCCAGCATTACTGCTTGCTCACCGTGTGGTCACCCTGGGATGCATGTCTATATGACAGCTGCGAAGAACCACATGGGAAGAAAGGTATGCTGAAAAATTTAGATAAAAATGAACAAGCTTTCGCTTTTGAAATATTTGGATCATTGCATTTTCCATGTATACATGTGTGTACCTGTCACAAGCATTATATCGCAGCTCAAACTGGATGGAGTGAGGCAACATACAAACAGATATTCTTGGTTTCTGTGACGATATTTATTGTCAAACAAAAAAAAGAAAGAATGAGAACAAGAAGATGAAATAAACTGCAGAAATGAGACAAACTGCATGAGCCTGTGAGTGATGCCAAATCAAAGAAAGGAACAAAACCAAGCGTAGGCTAACATCGTTTACCGAAGAACTTACTACAAAAGAAGGAAAACAAGTAAGGCATGTGCACTGTTAGTGGAGCGTGTGTGGATATGTGTCTAAACCGGACCCAGCCGCAGGCGTAACGGTTACTTCAAACACAGAGTTAAGTCTACCTGGTACCTGTGTTCAACCTTACAGGCTGTATCTGCAAAATATGTCCTCTAAGTGTCTGCTCGTAGTGTTCACAGGCTAAATAAGGGTCTCAAACAAAAGGTACAGAACATGGAGACATCAACATCCGCGCTGAGCTTAAATAAGACATCAACTAATAGGTAAGCTTGATTGTAAGAAGTTCTTCTTA